GGATTAGTTTTTTTAAGATAAAAGGAAAATATTATAAAAAGTAATTCCCTTACATATAAATCTTACTGTTTGGTGAATTTTCAAGTTAGTGCAATTTTGGGTCTTCCATCTTGTAGGTCTTTGAATTAGGTTTTCCTCTTGATGTTGCAGGACAAATAATTGGAAACCTTTGTCCTCACCACACTCTTTCTCCTCTCCTTTCTAATTCTAATGATGAGCCTTCTTATTCACTTTGCTTCTTGAGTGGGAATTGCATACTTGTAATATTGTATGTTTTTGGTTTCTACATTTAATTATACTTATCTAACCGACTTATTATCACTCATTTTTTTTGTTATTATTTATTTTTTTCTTTTTTAGTGGTAGACATTAAATATTTAAATTTTTATTTTAAAAAATAAATAATTATTTTAATGACATTATATTTTTATAATATTTTATTAAAACATGAACCCACCTCTTTGGTGTAGAAAGAAAATCTTTTTTAATAACATTACTTGCTCCTCCTCTCTCTTCATATTACAAGTGATTTTGATATAATTCAATTTTTTTTTTTTATAATGTAAACTATTTTAATATTACTTTCCAATAAGATAAAAAAATTTAATCACAAAAACAATGTAAATTACAGTAATTTAAACGTTATTTCAACTCATATATTTTAGTAGGAGTATGACTCGAATGTAATTATTTGCAAGCACAAAGGCAAATTTGGCAACAGAAGCTCTCCGTTGATTTCACCGTTGCAAAACGATGTCGTAATCTCTTCAGTTTCTAACTTAAGCAACCTGGACATGTCGACACAAGACGATGTCGTTTTCTTCTTCCGCTTCTGAATTCCTCGATCCTTGACTGATTTCTTTTGGCGCAGAGTGTAACCAAATCCGTGCTCCTGATGCTGGTCCAAGAGCAGGTTTGATAGATTCTGATTGAAAGAAGCAGAGAGTATGGGGGTGAGTCTGGAGGGTAAAAGAGTGATTCTGGTGCCATACATGGAAGCACACGTCCCAAAGTACCACAACTGGATGCAGGACCATGGTCTCCTCCAGGCCACCGGCTCCGAACCCCTTTCTCTTGATCAGGAATACCAGATGCAGCTCTCTTGGACCCAGGACCCTCTCAGTTAGTCTCTCTCTCTCTCTTTCTATGTGGTATATGTATATATGTTTGTTAATTTATGTATGCTATACATGTGTTTTAGTTGCTTTTGTCTTCGGTCACAATTTACTCAATTGTTATGTCTTTGTTTTGCTTGCCTTTCTTTGTCATCCACTAATATTAGTCTTTGATTGCGATTATTCAAGAGAATTTTTTGTTTTGATGGATTTGAGCATATCATTTTGCAGAACGCACTTTTATTGTGCTTGATAAGGAATTAGTAGAGGGAGAATTTGTTCATGGGGATCCTCGTGTTGAAGGTTGGTATTGAGCTCTGTCAGTAATTACTTTAGCCCTCCGCCATGTCTCACCAATTACAATTGGTTGGGGGAGAAGGGGGGCGAGGAGGTTTGAGGCCCGAATGAATGTTCATCCGGACTAGTGAAAAATGTCCATGTTCACCAATGACTAGTAAAATCACACCAGTGCATAGCCTGTCCTCTTGTGAGCAGCTGCAGATTACGGTGGATTTTATGATGATACTAATTGCAAAGGATGAGACATGAACAATCCACTGTGCATGACTCTTGTCATTTTCTTGAAATTTTTTTCAACTTCAATACTGTGGTTTGTCTTTTTTCCATTTTACCTAAAATTAGTAGTTGTTTTAGGTTGTTTCTTTTAATATTCGAGTTTCTTCTCCAATTTAGATTTGTTTATACTTCAACCTCCACATGTACATTTCTCTATAAGCACAAGCATCTGGAGATTTTCTATAAAAGAAACTAACTGTATTATGTAAAGTGGCAAGCCCTAAAAATTACTGGAGTTATTTGTACACATAATAATACAAGTACAGAAAGTGAATATATCTTAGTCGTAAGGTTAATCAGTACTTTTCATGAGAAGTTAATATTTGCTTGGGTTCTCCAAGATCCATATTAGTAGGTATCTTTATCTAAAATCCATTTTAGTTTTTAGGGGAGAAGGAAATTGTTTATCAGATAATAGAAGTTCTTGTGTTGTCCTACTTGCAATTTCACATTGGTTATTCTTTAATTATTATTTTTTTGTTGTTGCCATTTACAGCAATGGTTGGTGACGTGAATATTTATATGAATGACTTGGATGATATGCAATTGGCAGAGATTGAAATAATGATAGCTGAACCGAAAAGGTACCTACTTTTTCATGTCTGCTTATGTCATTCTTGCCTTCATTCTCCTTTTTCCCCTCTCGTCATGTGCATGTCATGTGGTATCAGAGCACAAGTAGTAATTCTTTTGTTTTGGTTAATTTAGCATTCTTCTGAAGAAAGATTGTTAATGAAAATAGGTCAATTGTTGCACAGAGCAACATTACTTTGTCATATAATTTCAGAGGTGGTTTCATTTTTATGGTGATTGTCTGATTAATACGAGAGGACTAATAAATGTAACCATGGAGATCTTCCCTCCTTCATCACTCAACTTCAACAAAATGCCATTGAGCTGTTTTTCCATCCATCTCTATTCTTAACAACTTAAAATCATAGCGGATCGTCATTGGGTTTCTGTCTGTCTCATTGTAATCTGTCTCCTTATATGTCAATGTTTTGCTCAAAGAGACATTTGATTAAAAAGATCATGTAGAGACAGTTCAGAAAAAGGGAATCAGAACCTAGAACAGCTATAACTTCTTACAAACTGGCTTAACCAAAAAACATATGAATATTACAAATTGCTCATGCTGAAAAAGTTTGTTGGCAGTTTATACCATCCCTTAATGACCTTATCATTTATTTGCATTGTTCTTTCATACACACGCAAACACAGGCATACCCACATGCGCATATCTAACATCATTTTTTTTTTATCCATTCTTACATATTCTCTGCTGAATGAGAGATGCTGCTCAATGTGTGGCGCCCAAGAGAAATTAGTGACACAAAAAACTTGAACAGCTAGTGACATACTTATAAGAAAAAGTAGTTAAGAACTAAGTAAGTTGAAAATTTGAAATTTACCAGATAAAAGAGTGAAAATGTTCATAGAATACTGAAGCTTTTTAGTCAAGTTTAATTAATACGTGAAACAAGATCAGGAACAGATTTCCTCCATTTTGCATTATTTTGATTATTATTTTTACAATCCTCATATTCTCTTTCTGGTTATTATTTGGTTAAGAGTTTGTACTTTAGGTGTCGCGGTATTCTCATGATAGGTTGACGACTCAAGTTCAAGTCAAATTTTCCATACTAACTTTAAAAAAATCATGCTGGAAACATAGGAAGGTTATTAAGTGTCTCTTTAGCCAACTAGTAATATGATATGAGTGGTTAAAAGTGATGTGAAAATGACTTTTGGTTTAATGTTTGTTAAAACTAGTAGAAGTGTTGTTAATATAAAATGTATATTATTAATTATATTATAAAATAAGCAATAAATTTTAAAATTATAAAAAAATTGCATAAGAAAAAAAATTTCTTAAATTTTTTATTAGTTAAAAGATATTTAATTTGATTTAATTATCTCATCTATTTAATTTATTATAGTATTAATATTAAATCATCGTTATTTAATTTACAAAAAAATTATTTAAATACTTCATAATAAACATAAATTATCAATAATAAAGAACGTCATATTTATGCTAAAAAAATTAAATTAGCAACTAATGAAACATAAAATATATAAACATAGTTTTAAAACTATTAATTATCTCCTGCAGCATTAAGTAAATCCCAAAAGTATCTAGGTCCAGCTTTTAATTTCACCTTTATCAAAATCCAAAAACAATTATGCTTTTACTTATAAACATTACTTTTCTTAACATTTCACCCAACTTTTACTTTCTGGTAGCAGAAACAGAAGAAGTCTGACCAAATAGACACTAAATGCTTAAATCGAGCTTCAGTATGTTCTATAGTACCTTGTTTATTCTTAATGTTATTCCTCTTTGTTTTTCTCTTGGTAGAATAGCCGGGGTAAAGGACTAGGCAAGGAATCTGTCCTGATGATGATGGCACATGCAGTGCAGACTTTGGGAGTACACATGTTCCGTGCTAAGATTGGAGAGTCAAATGGAGCATCACTTAATTTATTCCGTAAACTGGTCTGTTGTCAGGATACTTTTTTTTTTTTTGAAATAAGTCTAGTTTTTTTTATGTAACATAAGCCATCCATTCAATGAACCAACATGTTCTTTTGGGTTCATCCTTTATGATTGATGCAGGGCTTTGAGGAAGTTTCATACAGTGAAGTCTTCAAAGAGGTGAGCATATTTCTTTACAGCGAATTTTAGACAAAGAGACACGGCTATATGCCTACATCACCAAGATTGTGTTCTTGCTTGTGTTTATATTGGCCTTTGCGGAATTAGGGGATGCGTATATTGCTTGACTGAAATAGGGGCTACTTAACTCGCATTGACTTGATGAATGAAGAGAATATTCTTCTCTAATGTTACCTTATGTTGGTTTCAGCTTTTCCATTTAATCTTAAAATCCTGTAACTGCTTGATCTAAATTGTGAAAATTCCAAGAAGGAAAGAAAGCACAAGTTAGTTTATCACTTCTCTTCCTGCTAAAATGGAGAGGGAGCATATGTACATATACAAATATAAATTCTTTGTTCAATATAAGATCCTTTTGTTTAAATTTGCCAATTTTAACTAATTTTCTCTGTCACATCCAACAGGTGACACTGGATTTTCCGGTGACAAAGCCCAAGCAAGAGGAGCTTCTGGATTTGATTGGTAATGTCATCATTCATACATAGCCTGGATTAATTGTATGTGTTGCCAATAAAGGAAATTCATTAAATCCGCAAGAATTGTTACGAGATACATCATGCAAGGTTATTACCATATCATCTTCTATATGTTCCGTCATATTGGATGGCAATTAACTTTTGATTTTATGTAATGTAAGCACCGACGATCCCCATTGGATTTGAAACTGATGTTGAAATATGAAAATAACCAAATTCTCAGTTCCTAACTTTCTTTATGAATCTTCTTATTTTCTCTGGGCCAAATTAGGAGTTGGTGAATGTTTTTATTATCATTTCATTTCCCTGTAGAGGTAAGATGCAAGATGTATATGAAGAAAGAGAAGACATGTTGAAATTTAGAAAAAACTTTCACTAGATACGTCAGACTAAGAGTAATAAGCAGTTTTTAGACCATCATGGTCCACAAAAGGAACTGCATGATCTCCTGTAGTGGGCCCTCCTCTTATTTCACTCCCACCCTAAATCCTACCTTGATGTTTGACCTGGAAAGCCGAATTGAATTTAGGACATTCAATGGCCTCATTGATTGAATGTTTGACTCGGATGTTGAGTAATTGTGGGTCTAGCTGAATTACCAGCTTTAAGACATGATGTAGAATAGATCTTAGTTACTCATTGGTAATATTCTGTAGAGATGCAGGAAACTGGAAAGCTGAGAACTCCAGGTTGCATTAAAGGGTTGTAACTGGTTATCAGTTTTGTATAGCAGGAGATCATACTCCGTCTGAAGGCAAAATGCAATAGGTCCAACCATGAATGTTCCTGTTGGATTGGTTGATTGTCAATGCAATCCACCAGGTGGCAGCTTGCCCCTGGCTTCCTTTATGTGCAATATGAAGACTTTCTATAGATGCAATATAAAAATTCGGGTAGAATATGGGGATGCAGGCTGAAATTTCGATGCAATAACTGAAGCCTTGGTTGCTAAGGAAGTTGTAAGTTTACTTTTAGCAGGTCTGAGCTGATGAATAGGCGGGGAATAGAGAGACAGCCAAGTTTATAGGTCATCAAAATGGTCTTTGTGATTATAGCTATGAGGCATATTTGAAAGCTTGGAGGTACTTCTAATTAAATGGATTTCCATATTGGAGAGAGAGCTACTGTTAGACCTTCTGTGCTAGGTTAAACTAAGATGCTGATATTGTGAGGTAATGATGAAAAGAACTGTATGGGTTTTGGTATCATTAATAACGATGTTTGGTAGGGATTAGTCAATGAGAGATTAAGAAATAATCTATAGATTTAGGATGTGAGAAATCTTGGAAATGTATTTGGCATTTTTATAGGAGAAGTAATCAAGATTTGAGAAAGTCTCTAGTTGTTGGCACTTAATGTCCAAGAAGTAGGAGTTTTGATGATTAAAAGTGACCAAGAGATTTCTTATACCTGTATGATGACATTTAAAGAGACATAAAATTCGTATTTCCTTTGCTTGTTTTACAAGTATACAAGAAAAAACATGCGGGTAAGTGGGAACATATGAAATGTAAAGAGAAAAAGTTGGAAGAATTAATTATGTGGTGATCATATATTATAGAACTTTCTGGGTAGAGAAAATTCTTCTTGTTCATTCATGTATTTAAGATAAAAAGCTGTGTGAAGGAGGAAATATGTTTTGGTTTGTTGTTCAGACTCCTAATGTTTGGTATCAGAAAGTTCATCATATTCTGTTCAGACTCTTAGTTTTTTGACAAATTGTGAGTCAGATCTCAAATAAGTTAGGAAATTGAATGAAGAGGGTGTTTTTCTTTTTTCCTTTTTTTTTTTCACTTGAAATTATTTATTAACCCTTAACAATGAGTGTGTTTAAGAAAATACATTTTAAATAAAAATGTAGATGGAACACTTTCAGTCGAAGAGATTGAGATCACTGATTACGCATTAATTACCCAAGTTTACCCATATTTATTATCTTGTTATCATCTTATATTTTCCGAAATTATTAAATCAATCAGACAGCTTTTTCTTTTTTTTTTTCCTAAAAGTAATACGCAGTCTTTGTTGAAAGTTGTGGATGGATGGCATCCATCTCAATCTCTCAACATGAACGAAGATTCCACCCACCTAACCCTTTTCTGTCACCTCAATCCCTTCTGCTCTTCCCTTGTCTCTTTCCCCTTCATTCAATTCACATTTAATTATTTTTTTAAATAAAATTTCACTTTTTTATATGTCCTTATTCACTTAATTAACAAGATATATAAGTTTTTGTTAAAAATATTTAATCTATTTCGTAATTAATTAATTGTATATATTTTCGTTTCTTATTAATATTTTTCTCATGCATTAGAATTGAAAATGATTATTTATTTATTACAGATATCATATATTTTATAGTTTTTATAAGATGAAGTTGTAATATAATAATATTTAATTATGATTTAATTTCTCCTATCACTAGTTGATGGTATTACGATCACTTAATTATATTCACAAATATTTTTTTTTTCAATTTACATTAATTCGGAACTCTAAAATAAAACATTTTCATGGACAATGCCCAACCATATAAATACAATTAGCAATTGTTGCCTTATCAATAATTAAGCAAATTATTCAACTATTTCTTATGGCAAAAAAATAAAAAAAAGAAAGAAAGATTAAAACAGTGAAAAATAAAAAGTGGATTAGTTAAAATGGAGCTATCAATCTCTTGCGTGAGAAATTCAATTGCAAATATGACATAATTAGCTTTGTAATAATCCTAATTTAATTAACTTTTTTTTTTCACATATTGATATCATTAGGTGACAACATAGTATTTGCTTAGTTTTTAAGATCTGATAATTATATATCTATGCACTTTTTAATATTTAGTAGATAAGTGTCCATTAAATAAATGTCAGATGGTGTCACTTAAAATAATTAAAAAAAAAATCATATGTGATGAATATTGTATTAAATGATAAAATATATTAATAATTCGAATCATTGTTGACATATTTTCATATCTAGGAGTGGTAATTTATCAAAATTATTTTGATCACTTACAACACAATGACATTAGAAAACTTGTATATTTTTTAAAACTTAATCTTCCCAAAAAAAAATGTTACATTCTCTTTTTATAATCATCGAGTTGTTTAAAAAAAAAATTTAGTTTCAGTCGGTCCAATTAATAACTCCTTCATTATTAATAGACATAAAAAAAAATTATTTCAAAATATATTATTTTTGAAAAATAAAAGAAGATATTTATATATGTACATATCAAAATTAAGTGTAAGTGTGCAGTTTGAATGTGTATTTTCAATCAAAAATATATATATAACCACAAATAAATATTATATTATGCAAAATGTTATGTAAAAACCCAAAACCCTACCTAAAATTTGAAGCGTATAACTAAGTAATAGTAAAATAAATAATAATAAAATTTATTATTTAGCGGAAGCAATAATATTTGTAGGTTACATTTCTTGCACGTTTACTTAAAATGCCCAATAAAGTTATAAGAATATTTTTGAAACTTAAACGGAAAAAAATATAAAAAGAAAACAAATAGAGTTAACCTCTACTCGAAACTGACGAAGTAAAAAAAGTAATTCTTTAACTAGTCTCTTGTTATTCACTATCTGGATCTTAGTCGTCATAATCTGAAATGGTTACTAAGAAATTGGTAAGATACACTAGTTTAGTAAGAATATCAACGTTTTATCACTGATACGAAAAATTAAAAGTTGTAGAAAAGATAAAAAAACCAATGGAGCCCATTCTTAATAAAATCCGAATGCTAGTGGATTCATTATTCGTTTCACTGAAAACGTTAGCATTTTCGAGTAACCTGTAACTTCTCAGATACCATTCATTACAATAAAAATTACAATCACAAAAAACAGTATACGTTTCTATAGGCATATAACGTTTGGTTCCTCACTTTTCCCAAGCCGGATTTCTTACCAATGTCGCTGAGGGTCCATAGGGATCCCCACTACACGTGGATACGAAACATTTTCTTATAATTAAATGGTCATCATATAACCCGTCTGGTAATGAACGCCACAACCAACAGTCACCTTAATACCTTATCTAGTATAAGCGACACAAATAAACTCCTAACTCCTTCCGGTATGGGACTTTTTAGCCCTGTATGACTGAGGGTGACGTCCATGGTAGGGTTCACCCTATGTTCCAAGTCCGTATACTCTTACTCGTGACACATGGTAAGCCCTTTTCATTCAATTACATTAGTTCACGCATTTTATTTCTTTCATTTACTATTTAACCCAAAATGGCACACATACCGACATCCTCTGGCAAGATAAAAGTACGGAATTCATACTTCAGAATACGTGAATGAAATAAATATACATCATGTTGACCAAAACGTATCATGCACAAAACAGAATAACATAAAACATAGATTAAGGTAAATAAATTAAAGTAGGTTAAAATAAAATAAAGTAAATAAATAAGCACAATAAAGTGACCAAATAAATAGTTAACATAGTTAAGTAAGCATAGACTGACCAGTTACTGGCTCCATCGACAACCTGTACTTAACTAATCAAGGAATCGCCAATTATCTAAAATTTTTGTTTATTTTTAATTTAGTTTTAATTTCACCGTAACAGGAAAAAAGGGGTGAGGATTCTTACTATGGGTCGTTGTCCAGAACACTGCTTTTTTCACTACGGTCCTTGACGATTTTCGAATCTTGAATTTTCTTGGATTTCTTGATAAGATTGAAAATACGTCAAAATAGTATGAAAATGTAGATTCCCAGAACTTAAGAAGTAATAAGATAATAAATTAAATACAAAAGCGAAATAATAGAATTTGGAGTTTACATTCCTTACACAATAATTTAGAATGCCCAATAGGGTTACGAGAATATTTCTTTTAAAAAAACAAACAAAAATTAAAGAAACAAACAAAAAGCAAATAACTGAGCATTTTAGTACAACTTTCACTAGCTTTTGAAGGGAGTTCGGGTGGTGAACTTATTCACAATCCTCTTGTTGATTGGGATCTGGGTCTTTTTCCTCTTAATTTGAAATAGTTAATGAAAGGGTGAGCTACACTAGCCCAGTAAGAATATCACACTACTCATTGATACAGAAACTAAAGGTTGGAAAAAATTATAAAAACAACAAATAGAGATCTTGATTTAAGTAAATTCATTTATCATAAAGAAAACCATTTATTGCATATATTTACTGTTACGAGATTTTCAAAATCGACCTATAGAGACAATAACTCAAAT